CCCTAAGTAAAATAAAATACGATATTATTGGATTGGCGGAAATAAAAAGAACTGGTAGCCACATTATAGAACTTGAAGAACACATTTTCTGCTATACAGGAGTAACGAAAGGTCTGCATGGTGTTGGCTTCTTGATCAAAAAGAAATATAAAGCAAATATTCAGAACTACATAGGGATATCGGAAAGAGTATGCATACTGAATCTCCAATTTGAAACAACAAAAATATCATTAATACAAGTATATGCACCCACTCACGACGCAACTGAGGAAGAAATGACATCCTTCTACGATCAACTTCAAACTGCTCACTCACTCGCCAACGGGTCACTGATTGTAATGGGAGACTTAAACGCCAAAATTGGACAAAGAAAACAAGGGGAAGATACAATAATGGGACCATACTGCTATGGCATCAGAAACGATAGAGGCGATCGGATAATACAATATGCATTAGAAAATAATCTTACTGTAATAAATACATTATTTAAGAAAAAACAAAAAAACTTATGGACTTGGACTAGTCCAAATGGAATGATTAAAAACCAAATTGATTACATTCTCAGTAATAACGCTAAAAAATTCTCAAACATAGAAACATTAAACAATAACCTATTTACAAGTGATCATAAGTTAGTACGTGGTACATATAACCTAGGAAAACAAAAGAAAAGTAGAGCTATGTTTCACAGTTTTCCAACTATAATACAAGGCGAGGAAAATACAAAAGTATTCTTGAATTCATTAGAAAAAGAAACACAAAAAATATCTCGATGTGACACAGAAGATGTAGAGTCCTATTATTGTAAAATAGAAACAGCGATATTACAAAGTATAAATAGCACAAGATCAAAAAAAGGAAAGAAGGATATAATATCAGCAGAAACAAAGACTTTGATAAAAAGAAGAATTGAACTACAACGTAAAAAACCTAAAAGTAGAGAAGAGAGGCAGGAACTGTCCAACCTATATAAAATTACAAACAAGAGCTTAAAAAACGACTACAATAATTATAGAATGAAAATAATAGAATCAAATTTATTAAAGTCTGGAAGCCAAAAAAAGGCGCTTAAACAACTTAGTACCAGCAAAACATGGATTCCAAAGCTACAATCAAAAATCCCACACAAACACACGTTAACAAGAATCGATATAGTTAAAGCTGCCTCGGATTTCTACAAAGATCTATATACCTATCAAAACTGTAGCAAAGAAATAGAAACATGCTCAACTCAAGTTCACACCTCAATGTCTCTACTACCAACTCGACCAATCAAACCGTTTGAAGAGACGGAAATAATAAGACAAATAGACAGACTTAAACAAGAAAAAAGTCCCGGACATGATAACATACCCAACGAAGCAATCAAAGTAGGAAAATTCATACTGGCTGGTCCTCTTACATATCTTTTCAACAAAATCTTGCTTGAACAAAAAGTACCTTTGAATTGGGTGGAGTCGAGAATCATACTTCTTTACAAGAAAGGCGACCCATCAGATATGAACAACTACCGGCCTATTAGCCTACTTCCTGCTATATACAAATTATTTGCGGCCTGCTTAAATAAGAGAATAGAGACAGAGATAGAGTCGCATCAACCTATAGAACAGGCAGGCTTTAGAAAGGGCTTTTGCACAATTGATCATATCCATACTTTGGAACAAATAATTGAAAAACACCAGGAACTTCAACAGCCCCTATATCTAGCCTTTATCGACTACGCAAAGGCCTTCGACTCTATCTCACATGACAGTCTATGGCGAGCGCTAGAAAACCAAAATGTTCCAGAAACCTATATAAACATAATGAAAGACGTCTACAGCAAAAGCGTAAGCCGAGTAAAGCTCGATAGACTAGGGCCACTAATCAAAATATGTAGAGGCGTGAAACAGGGGGACCCTTTATCCCCCACAATTTTTATATCTGTCTTACAGTATATAATGAAAGACCTAGATTGGCAACATAAAGGTATCAATATAAATGGCAAAAATTTGAGTAACCTTAGATTCGCTGATGATATAGTACTCTTCTCGAGATCATCGAAACAATTAGAACAAATGATATCAGAACTATGCACAGTAAGTAACAGGATAGGACTACAACTAAACACAACGAAAACTAAGGTGATGACTAATGATAGGCAAACACCTATACACGTAAAAAATTTACAGAGCTTAGAATACGTAGAGAACTATATATACCTAGGGAAATCTATCTCATTTCGTAATTCTAGAAACAAAGACGAGATTGACAGGAGAATAAACATAACATGGAGAAAGTTCTGGAGCCTAAAAGAAATATTGAAGTCTAATGTACCTGTGAAACTGAAAAAGAAAGTCATGGATGGATGTTTACTACCCTGCTTCTCATACGGATCACAAACCTGGATCTACAACAAAAATGCGACAGACAGAATACAAAAGACGCAACGTGCTATGGAAAGGAGCATCTTGAATATTAGGCTGAAGCACAAAATAAAATCAGAAAACATAAGGAGAAAAACCAATGTGATAGATGCTCTACAACATATGAGAAAGCTCAAGTGGAAGTGGGCTGGCCACGTTGCACGACTCTCAGATAAAAGATGGACGCATTTGGTTACAATTTGGGCAGGTCCAAGTGGTAAGAGAGCTAGAGGCCGTCCAAAGGAACGCTGGGTAGATGAGATAAAAAAGTATGCTGGAAACGACTGGACAAAGAAAGCAAAGACAAGAAAAACCTGGAAACTGTTGGAGGAGGCCTATACCCGCCAGGGGCCTTAACTATATACATGTGCATAATATATTACTATGTATAATTTTAGTAAAATCCAACATTTAATCTAGTTTAAAAACTCTATAAGTTAAGGAAAATAAAGAGGCTTTATTATTATTATATTATTATTACAGAAGATAGCAACCCTGGTCCTGTATGTAAATATTTGCAGTGGTATGAGCGTATGAGCAAGTTTACCAGATGATCCTTACAAGGAAGGAGAATAGGATGTTTAAAATCAAAACTCTCCTCTGAGTTTGCCAAACGGCCACCTACGCGTAATACGCCATCCTTAAGAAATGGATTTAATTTTTTAATAGATGGAGAACGACATCCACCTTTCTCTAAACGTTGAAGGTCATCACTAAAATGTATTGACTGTATTACCTTCATAATTTCTAATTCCGTAAATTCCAAATCTGACTCAACTATTGGTCCCAGGGGTAGCTTCCTTATAAACTTGTATATGTAGCTTGCCACGTTAAGGAACCGTTGCCACGAAGAGTAATTACGTGCTAGCTTATAAAGAAAAGGTTCTTCGATTGGTTTTATTATTACTAGGGAAATAGACTTAAGCTCCGGCGCGTCGGAAGATTCCTTTGGCACAAATGTTTTTATTGGCCATTCGGTTTTTTGTAAATGGGCCCAAGGAGGTCCCTGTAGCCACAGGGGGTGATTCATAAGTTGTGTAGGAGTTAATGCACGGGACAAACAATCGCACGGGTTTTCGTTACCCTTGATGTGGTAAAAGTGATCCGATGGTAAGTTGTCCTGGATTTTGGAGACTCTATTGGCAACAAACGTGTGCCATCGGTGCGGAAAAGAGTGAATCCAATTTAACACTACGGTCGAGTCTGAAAATGCTAACACCGAATCAATTGGGTATCTACTCGAATATATTTCAAAAACCTTTTTTATTAATTTAGAAAGCAACAAGGCTGCACATAATTCCAGACGAGCTAATGAAACAACTTTCAAGGGCGCAACCTTTGACTTTGCGCATGACAAAATGACAGTTGTCTGATTTTGTTTGACGTCTACTCGAATATAAACTGCGGCACCATAAGCCTTTTCACTCGCGTCAGCGAAACCCAGAATTGTCGAACAAACATGAACCACTCCAAGGTGCCGAGGAAATTTCATCTGGGCAAGCAGGGGAAGTTCCCGTCGGAATTCATTCCACAGTCGTGTAATTCGTTGTGGGGGATCAGCGTCCCAGTCTATTTTAGCAATCCAAAGCTCCTTGATTAAAAGCTTGGCATACAAAATTACAGGTGCTACCAGGCCCAAAACATCAAACAAACGTGCAACAGAGGACAAAATGTTTCTCTTAGTGCAAGGGCGATCATCTGAAATTACCTTGAAGGCGAACTCATCATCACGAGGACGCCAGTAAAGACCTAATATTTTCAAGGTATCGTCCTTGTGAAATTCGACATTTTGCGACAAGCGATAATCTTCAGGAATATATTCAAGTACCCTTGTGCTATTGCTACTCCATTTGACTAGATCGAAGCCCCCAGCCTTAAATAGCCCGATTAACTCTTGAAAGGTAGAAATAGCTCGATCGGAATTCATCAGTGAGCTAGCTATATCGTCCATGTAAAGATCTCTCTGCACGACTTCTTTACCTATAGGAAAACGGTGACGATCATCCTGCACTAGTTGCGAGATAGTGCGAAGAGCTAAAAATGGGCTACACTTTAGTCCAAAGGCTACTCTATTGAATTCCAATGATTTTATTGGAATTTGAATATCTGAACCACCTCCTAAATTGTCATCCCGACTGAAGCGATATAAGATACGCTGAAAACGTCGATCCTGCTTACGGACGCCTATCCTAAGATACATCTGGCTCACGTCAGCTGTGATGGCAACAGGTAATAGTCTCATATTCATTAAGATTGTAAAAAGGTCGCGTTGAAGATTGGGACCGGCATATAAAAGATCATTTAAGGAAAATCCGCTACTAGACTTAGCACTTGCATCCAGGACAGGTCGAATCCGTGTCGATAATTTATCTTCCCTAAGAACAGCGTGGTGGGGCATGTAAAAGTGCAGAGGATCTTTATCGGCTGTATCAATAGGAGACAAATAACCTTGATATATATAATCCTTGATTACACTATCGTACGCCTCTCTTAGAGCGGGCTGAGCAGTAAACCTACGCTCTAAATGCAAAAATCTACGCCCAGCAACTTCCAAAGAATTACCAAGAAGATCTGGACTGAATTTGAAAGGTAAAGCTACTTCGTAGCGTCTGGAAGCAGCACGCGTGACAGTCTTGCTATAATTTTCTTCGCATATTTATCATCAGCACTAAAGATATGCTTAGGATCAATTTCGTCGAGTTCCCACATTTTCTTAACTAGAGTCTCGACCTCAGATGTTGAAATAGCATGAAAAGCTACGACTGCTGGGGCTTGAGCCTGGATAACCGCTGGAGCATCTCCTAGAATGATGTATCCTAAAACGGTCTCAAGCGCATCCGGAGAACCGGGTTCCCCGATAATTTTACCAGGTCGTAGCATCTCCGCAAAAAGACTAACACCGATTAATAAATCTATTTCTCCTGGCATACCCCAGCCATCGTCCGCCATGGGAATACTACGCAGATTTTCAAGGAATCTAGTATTGATATTACACGTTGGTAAATTACTAGTGATTCGATTTAACACTAGAGCCTGAATATTAAATTTTGTATTATTGAATCGAGATCGAAAAGAAATGTTTGCCGCCCCCTTGACTATCTGTGATGAGCCATCTATTCCCTTCACCGTTACAGGTGAATTAGATTCGACCTTTAGCTGTAGTTTTGAACAACATTTTGTTGTTATATAATGTTTCTGGGAACCAGGATCTAGTAAACATCTAACTATTACATCGCGACCATCGCGACCGGTGGCATAAACCTTTGCGGTTGCGAGAACTTGCGTTGTTGATGATGAATCGCATTTTGTAGAAGACAACGAGCAATACGACACTTCTAGATTTCCTTCTCCAACCAAATAACCGTCACGCACTTGATCGGAGGAGGACTCTTCTTCAAGTTCTAGTGAGCTCAGTATTTCACTAGTATCATGTTCCTCGTTCACGGCTACAGTGGCGGTGCAAGACTGCGCCGCAAATGATTCATTTCCAAAATGAAGCAACGTGTGATGCCTGGCATTACACTTGCGACAAGAAGTGTTTGAGTTGCAATAAAAAGAGGTATGTTGGTTACTCAAACAATTAACGCAGTAACGATTGTCCTTAACGAATTTAAATTTGTCGGCAGCCGAAAGGTTAGCAAAGGGTTTACATGCATAGAGATGCGTATGTGCCGTGTTGTTACAAAGCTTACATGGCCTAGTACGACCTTGGGTCTGCTGCGTGGAAACTAAGACGCGTGGCGGCACGGTTAAAGCCCGTGAGCTAGATGGGCGACTACCCGGGTTGGGATGCGGTGCCATGGAACTGCCACGAGTTTGTGATGAAGTGCTGGTTCGATACAAAATTTTTACCTGTTCTCGTAAGAACTTAAAAAAATCGTCGTATTTAGGCATGTCCGTTTGACTACGAACTGTTGTTTCGAAACACTTCTCAGTATCGGAATCTACAAGCTCCAGGCCCATGTAAACAAAAATAAAGTCACTTAAATTATCTATATTAAGTTGTTTGAGTGCTGCGATCGTGGCCGCGTATTTATCTACCAAATTTTCTAAATTTATTGCAGAGGGACCGTTAATATTCTTTAATGCAAATAACTGATTTAGATATGTCGTAGCTAAAGCTCTGTTATCCTTGTATTTGTCTTGTAAAGTTTGCCAAATAATTACGTAATTATCTGCCGCCGGGACTATACCAGCACATATATGTTTTGCTTTTCCGGAAAGGTGGCTCATTAAATAGTGAATAGGTTCCGAATTCGTTAACGTTTTATTTTGTATATAACACGTTTAAACGTTTCGTAAAAATAAGGAAAGTTTTGTAATTCACCATCGAAAATAGGCAATTCAATACGAGGAATCTTAATAGTATGTTCCTGATTAATTGCATGTGTGACGGCTTGCGATTGTGGGTTTGGTCTCTCCATACTATTCAGGATATCCTTAATAAAATAATATAAGTCGTCAAACGCTGATAACGGCTGGTAATTAATACTATAATCGGGATCTACTTCCAAATTTAATAAATTTATATCATCAACCAAAGTTACAAACTCTTTACGTAATTGATCAACGGCGCGAGCTTGTGATAAGAAATTATGCCGTGATTTTTCATCTGTTTTCGATGATAGTTGAAAGGTCTTATTTATTTGAGAGAAATACAATTGACGCTTAGCTTCTAACAATTTAATTTGCATAAGGCGTCTATCTTTTCCTGCACCCTTTTACGTCATTGTAAATATATTTATTAGAACACGATTATATTACCCCAAAGTGAGTAAATTATCCTTGTTTTTACGAATTAAATGTAAATAAATTTTCATGCGTGATTGAAGAAATATAAATGAGCAGGTTAGTTAGAACGAACGAACGAAGTCCACTAGAAATTCAAATCAGTTCTAATATATGTAATGCGCTGCATACGTGTATGTACCAAACTAAGAAAAAGGTGCGATACGGTACTTAGATAAACTGCACAATGACTGGCGGCGAGGCGCGGCGGCGCGGCGGTTATTTCTACCCACTAGGTAAATTAAATCAAACCGATTTAAATATTTACGGAGCGATATGATAATAATAAGTAAGTAAATTAAATGCGACAGCTGTCTAAAAGTCGATGCGATTAATAAGAATGTTTCTTAGTAATAAACATATAAAATCGATCTTGTAAACGGCTGTATGCGATGCGGAAAATACTTCAATATTAAGTAGTATTTACAAGTCGACAACTAACAGTATAAATAGTCGACATCAACCCAAGTATGCCACAATAAGGTTCAGTATCAATACGTCGAAGAGTCGAATCACAATCGGATTTACCTATTTAATAGTTCCAATCCAAATGTCATCCGGGGAGATGGACCAATTTTTTGGTTGAAAATGGTAAATGGACTGTAATTTGCATAGACGCTGGCTGATTCTACTCGATACCGTTAACTAGACAATATAACTAAGGTCGGACGTACCTGAATATACGAAGGCGGATGCTCCTGCTCTCGTGCGCTTCTTCGGCGATCCCAGCTACACGGATTTCGGTCACTCACGATTATCCAATTCGAGGAATAACTTGCGGCGGAACATATATTAGGGAGTAGCGAAAAAACGTGCCTTTTCTCACGACGCGCGGCGTTAACAGTATGTCGATCACGTGACGGGAAGATGTCCATAATTTTAACGGACCAAGAGTACTTAAGAATCACATCGACCCGCGAAATACATGGACATCCAAACCAAAGTAACATTGGTGTAACAGTTGCGAGTATTCAGAGAAAATAAACGAAGAAATTTCGGCTGTTTATTAAACTAGCCGAACCAATTAGAAAGAAAGAAAGAAACAGATTTTATTTGGCACATGCAGCACACTCAAGCGGATTACATAAAACACATAACATTTAAGTAGTCATACAAACAAACAAAAAAAAAATTATACATAGAAATCATGAAACAGAACATTAACTCCTTGTTTAATGTAATTATACGCCAACGATAATTATCCGATTACGTGTGATAACCTTATCTACCTAGTCAAAATACCTGACGCGTACCTAGCCCTAAACTACGGGCGTGGTTCCTTCCTCTACCCGCCAACAACAAAAAATATTTATATGTAATTTTCATTACGTACTATTTTTATACTATATATTTTTTATATTATATCTTAAGGCCGGGCGATTGTAGAACCAATCAACCGCGCTCTTGCTACCAGCAATGTTCACGCAGCTAGCTGTCCCTACAAATGTCTACCATACAGGGGCTCATACAGCTGTTAGGTTCGACAGACAACATAGGACGGGACCCAACTAGCCTTATGGAAAATGTCATATCTTACTATACAATAGGGAGAAGGCTAGGTGAATAAATAGTACGTACCTGTTCAGAGGCGAAGAAGGCTCGTTCAGGCGTAATTGTCGTGAATGTGAGTATTGTGTAACCTGAATTAGCCCTTTTAATCAGCAGCCACCTTGACTCCGGCACCGCCCCCCGGCGTAGTATTCTCCAGCAGCGGCAGCAATGGACTATTTCTTTCTTCGATTCACTCTGTCAGTCTATCAACTTTATCCAACATTTAACTAACTTCAAGCTGCAACTAAATCCCGTTAATTATAATCAAAAAACGTAACTCGCGGCATGATGGATGACCGGTGGGTCAAAGTTCACTGAAGTTCACTCCGCAACAAATTATTTCGAAAACCGAACGCGACCTTAACGCAACGGTACAATTAAACACTAACTTCTCAATAATTAGCCAACCTGGCGTCAAATGTTCTAGACTACACAATTATTCGTCGCTGCACAAATCCGTTAACAAATTCGGCGCTATTAGAGGCAACCACGCGGCTCGATTCGACTCACAACAATGCACAGCCCGGCCGCCGCTTGACGACAAAAAAACCCGATCTTCCCCGCGCTCAGCGCGTGCGGGGAGGCGCCTGCAAGCCGCATGCCCGCCGGTGCTAGGTACATCGAAGAAGCGCGCTAACGCGTCTCCGTTATAGTAATTTTAAATTTTAGCGTTTGGCGCAAATAAGAGCGTTGTCACCTTTCTTGAAGAACAAGACCACCGCACTTCTGCTCCACGCCTCCGGAGTAATGCCACCATGGAAGACGGAATTAAAGAGCCTCTGAAGGACTTCAAGTACCGGTTTTACCGGTTTTCCACCCGCATTCAGAAGCTCGGCTGTAATTCCATCCTCGCCTGGGGCCTTGCTGTTTTTAAGATGCTGGAGAGCCATTCTAATTTCGCTCAGACTGACGTCCGGGATATCTTCGGAATAGTGTCGGATAAGACTCGCTCATGGATCGTTACTCACACTTGCGTGTGGCCCTAACGATGATGTGTAGATCAGACCATAGAATCTCTCAATCTCACTCAAAATCTCAGGTGCCCCGGAAACGATGCTGCCACACTCGGTCCTCAGCTTTGACAGTTGGCTCTTTCTAGCAGACAGATCTCTGACTTTGAAGCCTTGGTTCCGCTCGTTCGCTTCTTGAATACAAGCTGTATTGAAGTTGCGTAATTCCCTCCGCATGCATTTGGAAATCTGTCTGTTCAGTTGCCTGTATGCTGTCAAATCTGTTGAAGAATGTAGCTTCATCTCCCGTCTAACAGCTATGAGATTAAGAGTGTGATCGGAGAGTTTTGTGTTCTTCTGCGTCGGGTCTTGCAGAACTTAGCTCCGACCGCATGGACAGTTTCCACGAGCTTTTCATTCATATCGTCCACTTCATTGCAGTCTTTTAGGCACTAAAAACGGTTTTGACACTCGAGCTGAAAGGTTTCAGGACTATGGAACAGACCACGAGGGGGACGGAGCGTTGACTTCATTAGACGAGACCTCTCCAACTTAACGTTTAGGTTCAGTGTGCCTCTAACCATTCGGCGATCGCTACCAGTTTTCACCCGCGCGATCACGGAGACATCACTGAACAGTTGTTGTCTGGTCGTCATAATGAAGCCAATCTCATTTTTTGTTGATCCGTCGGGGCTCGACCAGGTCCACTTCCTGCGGGGCCGCTTCTGGAAGAAAGAGTTCATCATAAAGAGTCCCTCTTTCTCCATGAAGTCGGCCGGCTGCTGGCCCCGTTCCGTTGCCCTATTCCAAATTTCCGTACTTTCAGCTCACCGTTCTCTCTTGTGCCTAGTTTTGCATTGAAGTATACCATTAACACCGTATGTTGTGTTTTGGAGGAATGCATGGCTCTAGAGATATCCTCATATATTTCCTCCACCTCCTCATCGGGGTGTGCCGAGGTTGGTGCGTAAGCCTGTATGACCTTCAGCGAATACCGTTTGATGATTCTGAGTATAAGGTACGTAACCCTCGTCGACACACTCTCGATCTTTAAAGGTTGTTAACGAGAGACTTGTGGACGATAAATCCGACACCTCCTTGGGACAGATGGTCGCCCTCCCGGTGATAGAGCAAGTTGCCGGATTCGAGGATTACCGTGTCCTCCCCCTCTCTTCGGACTTCGGATAATCCTATAATATGCCAGCGTAACTTGTCTATCTCTTCTTCCAGCTCCACGATCTTCTCGTCAGTCCTCAGGGTACGTGCGTTGTACGTTGCCAGGTCGAGTCGTCTAAGGTGGCAACCGAACCTCCACCGGAGATTCTTAGCACCCCCCGCCCCGCCGTTACCATGGTCGCCACCGTAGCCAGAACATACTCGTATCTCGGATTGTAAAACAACAATTTTTAACTTGCATTCGTAATTCGATTGCTTAATGTGCGAAAATTATTATATTACCGTTACCGTTACTGCCTATTTAAGTCCACCGTTGTACGTAGGCCTTTCCCATAAAATACCTCACAGGAGGAATATTTGCCATAGTTGCCACGCTTCGCGAGCGGGTTGGCAATCGCAGTTTTTTTTATTGTAATTTCGGCTACTATCAGGAAGATGCTGCTGCCCATCTCCTGCCTGTTTCCCTTTGTCGCCTTTTACGACACACACGGGAAGATATAGGGTAGTGGATATTCTTAACCGCCACAACACGGCACGACAAGACTTTATATTTCATATTAATTTTTCTATTCCCAGAAGATCGCCCAGGTATACGAAATACACCCCATTCGTAACAAAATTAGCACGGTCGCATTTAGGCCATGATGCTCCTCTAAACAGATTAATGAGGAGTTACAACGAGATTCGTAACAAAGATATTGGTAATACCGGGAGTGAAGAAATAGTATTCAAAGGTGGTCTATACTGCGAAGAAACGTAGAAAGACAC